GCGTCTGGCACGTGAGTGTGACATACGCCCGTCAAATCCTCCGCTGCTGGCGTCACTCAACACGGTCCAAGTGTCGTGTCTGTCTCACAAAACCGGAGAGCCCCCGTCACGACCCGGCGGGAATTCGTCACGGGTGTCTGCTCCCATCACAGCTCGCGCGGAGCAGCGTCAGCGGTGCAGCTTTGATCTCGTGGAGGGAAAACATGATAGTGACGGCTGCCAGACAGGGAGAACAGGGAGTGGAATGGGTGGATGGTATTGGCGGGAGGATAGGCGGGCGGAATGGTGAATTGAGGCGGGACGACAGGGGTAGGAGTGGTCAGTAGGGGATATGGGAGGATTGGCATGGGCGGGAGGCGGAGATGCATGAGGTAATGGTATAAGAAACAATGGCAAGATGTGATGGCCGATGGGTTGCTGAAGGCTCATCTCCAAGCGTTATAGTGAGTGGGTAGACATAACAGGAGGAGTATAGAGCAGGGTTGTATACCAATCAAGTCGATTGAATTGATTGATTTGTTTCAACGCGTATTTTGAGTTGATTGGATTGAGTCGATTGACTTTTCGAGATGACTGGTTGACTGACTCGTTTGACTTCAGCGGTTGACTGATTTGATTCCCGAAAATTAGAGTGACTTGTATGATTGAGTCGATTGAATGGAAGGTTCAAATAAGTTTTAGTTGACGAAAAATAATGACACCAATTGATGACATCAAAGATCATAAAACTACACTGAAAACCGCTTGTCATCACAACTGCAATATGGGGTAGAGGGCCAAATAAAGAACAGTGCCTAAACATGAGCAGCCAACTTTGACTTTCAACTGCAATAACTGCTCCAATCCTGGTGATAGAACCTGGCGATGCACCTACCTACCTTTCTGCACTCAGCAGGAAACTTTTTTTTAATCCAGATGATAAAGTGCAAGGCCCTATATACTAATAAAGTGTGATTAATTAATAATTCACATCTCCACATCTCCTCAGAAACAACCCACTGAACTCATAAATATCTGAAACCCCTACAAAAATAACTGAAACAAAAGCGCCGTTTTCGTCTCGCTAATTACGTTTGCGTACCTAATTAATAGCTAATTTGCTGCATTGTTTAATATGCAGCAGAACGTTTGTTGATCCTTTTCTCCTGAGAGCCTAAGCATAACATATTCAATATATTTCATATTCCTTAAAATATTTTACCGAATATTATAAAGTGGTTTTAAATGAAATACCTAATAATTAAAACGAAATTGGTGTTGTACAACCGATTTATTTTATGATGATCTACCATACTATATGATAATCAATGACGTCATCTTACCAAAAAATCAAAAGACGTAGAATAAGGATTTATAAAAGCTTAGCATACTTATTGGCAAAACGTTTTCTTTGATTCGCAGTCGCACTGTGCCGTTTTCGCGTTTTAATTTTCCTTGTTCCTACTTCCTTTGTCCTTAACTTATCCTGTGGTTCCAGAGTCCCTGTCCTCTCCATTTCCTTTTGAATATATTTTTAATCCTCATCCCTATCCCCCAGTCCTAACAGTTTCAAATTGTATTGCAATAAAATGTTTTGAATTCTTCACATAGGTACCTAACATTGACAATTGACATGCCACGTCCAGAGTCGTGGACCGCTAAATAGGTACTTCAAATCTCTTCCTTCCCAATCTGACAACATCCCACGTCTCAAATGCACATTGTGTGGAAAGATTTTTCAGGCTGCCCGTCAGTCTCTGTCTAACCGAAACCGTCACATGCAGGTAAGATATTTATTTCTATTTCCCTATGGTTAATATGTTATTGATGCATATTATCCATTAAAATAGACATGGTGTAGGGTAAATGGCCAAATCACGAACACTGCCAAAATCCGAGCAGCCAACTTTCAACTGCAATATCTGATATTTAGTGTAAATTGAGTTGGAATATGGCCAAAATTAAATTGACAGCTTTTAGGTGAAAGGTGTTGATTTGGGTTAAGGGGCGAGTCAACTACTGGGTTATTTTGCACCCATTAAATGAATCTTCTGCTACAATTCTACCCCTTGAACCTCAATATCATGATCCACCTGTCCAATCACTAGGTATCCTTCCTTATTACATAGAAACTTTGAATGGCATGGCAATTTATAATTTTAAATGACAATATTTTTATGTTTCTTCTGTAGGTAGGTAGGTAGGTACACTGTAAAAAAAAGTTTAGCATTTGGGGTACTAACGGCTGCTATTCGTAGCACCTTTTAGCGTCAAAAGAACCCTACGACGTATTTACAAAGAAGCATGGTGCTAATACTGTGCTAATGATAGCTAACATTCCCATCAAATATTATAAGTTAAGATCACCTATTCTTCTACTGAGCTTAATGTCTACTTCTGCTAGTACCAGGTCCATCAGTGAGTGCTCTTTCAAGCTGGATTTCTAATTAGAACCATTTTAAGTGTTTTAGAAGTTGGTAATGCTGAATATGGTGCTTACGTTAGTATCACAATAGAACCGGACATGCTTACAGAGGAAACAAATTTGAAATAGGCGCCAAAGAAAGTAGCTAAGCAGTAAGCCCTGCTTTACAAATCTCTGGGAGTCTTATCACCAGCCCTTTAGCACGTTTTGACGGCGCAGAGCGATATGCGCATGCGCGTGCCAGCTGTTTCCGGCCACGTGTTGCGCCATTTTAGTGGAGTCCGTTGGTCGTGGTGGGAGTGTGTGCACGTGCTCCGGTATATGAAGTGAAGTGAAGTGCTCCGGGCACATGCCACCGAGTGATAGCTCTGGAATGATAGCTTAAATCAGCTATTATCGGTGGAATCCGTCGTGCGTGGCATGGGAGTGCGTGCCCCTGCTCCGGGAGGCAGTGAGGTGGAGGGAAGTGCAGTGCAGCAGTGCAGTGAAGTGAAGTGAAGTGCTCCGGGGCCGGGTGGTACATGAGCATTTGCCACCGACACATGCCACCGACACCGCGGTTGATCGACTTTGGTGAGTCTGACACGTTGTATCTTTTGACATTATCTTATATTGTTTAAGTGCTTCATATTCCGACTTTGGCAAATCGCGCTTCTTGGTCTGAAGGAAAGTTGTGTTGTTTGCGAAAATAGCTCCCAACAGAAAAAAAAAATCTTGGAACTGATCCAGTTTTTTTTTTGCTCCAGGCATGGGGCCTGGTCAGTTCTTCCGTCGACTACCACTTACAATGGAGGACAACTACGACAACAACACGGGGTCTCCGGTTCCGTCTATCACTAAACGCCGTCTGGTCGTGGATGAGGTCGAACTTATGGCCATGAACGGAACGTCGGTTCAACGACCCCCCCCCCCTCCGCCTCCCCCAGTCGATCTCATTGGAGCTGAACCCGGCACGCTTTAAGCGAGCAGTCAAGTCGGTGGTGTGCAATAGGGGTGGGGAGGGTGGACGGGGTTAGCATTTTCTGACGTATGTGTGTTGTTTGACTGTGTGCCTGTTTTTACCCCTCAACCATATTTCCCGTTGATCGTTTTATCTTTTGACTTGTGACACAGAATAGCCACAATGAGTGATGTGGAGTTGTCAGCAATCGTCAATACTGATCTCGCGTTAATCGTCGGTCACTGCGAGTGTGCAGGTATATGAGCGACCTTTCGTTATTTCCCGTGCGTTTGTTTGTGTATATATTTACATTTGTTTTTCATGCAGATGATATGAAGTGTCACAGATAACGGAAGTACTACTGTTGTGGTATGACAGTTTGACGTTTGTGAAAAGCGATAATGTGAACACATATATATTGCACAAACCGGTTTCGATATCACTTCATCAGTGTGCAAATATATAAATAAAACACACAAAATACAAAACGGAGACGAAATAACAGCACGCGTACAACAGAGCAAATTAATTTCAAATACATTCATATGACCTCATGTGATTGAGATCCCAAGACGCTTCCGCACCAAAAGAACGGCTAAACTTTTTCCCAAACGTATGTCACCAGCTTTGGAATTTACACACAAACAAGATTCAATGAGGGACGATTCAATCGTTTTTCTATCGGACCTACTTAACCTATCTCGTATGATTTCAGTGCGATCCCAATCAGGTAAACTACCACACTTTTCGGCATGTTTCACCATTGCATTGTTAATGTTGTGGTTCCTAAAATCTCTCTTGTGCTCCATTAACCTGTTCTTAAGCCCTCTCGACGTTTCACCGAAATAAGGCTGTGTACACCCCTTGCACGGTATTTTATACACTAAACTTGTTTCACTACGGTCACACTTTTTCTTTTTTGCTACAACCTGACCAATCTTCTCCCCAGCCTTTTCCACAATCTGAATATCGGAGCACTTCAACATCTTTGATAATGCTTCACAATTCTGTGACCTGGGTACAACAACTATAGCGTTCTTTGTCTTTCCGTTTGTTTCGTTTCCCGTCCTATTCTTGATCCTTTTTGCCTTATTATAGCATTCAATTATAAATGCCCTGGGGTACCTCAAACCTCTAAAAACGTCAGTGATATGATCACATTCTTCCTTCAGATTTTCGGGACTACATATTCTCATCGCTCTGAGGAAGAATCCAATCACTACCCCCGATTTCGTTCTCCTGCTATGGGCTGAAAAGAAATGAATATAGTCCTCTTTGTTTGTGATTTTCCTATACACTTTGTATCTGATGCCGCTAGGCGTCCTCTCAATATGTACATCTAAGAAAGGTAAAGTATGCAATGGTGAAACATGCCGAAAAGTGTGGTAGTTTACCTGATTGGGATCGCACTGAAATCATACGAGATAGGTTAAGTACCGGGTGATCATTTGGGAATGAGATAAAGTAAGTGGCACGTGCAGATGTGTATTCAATAGCACACCAGACAAAAGACACGTCATTAGACTCGTCATCGTGGGACATTTTGTACTGCACACTATTATACACCTGCAAGCCACTGTTCATCTACAGCAGGTGCTCAAAGTGGCCACCCCCTTCTGAGCGGCACAGCTCAGCCCGACGGCGTGTGTGACGCGCCATCTTTCGCAGCTGCTCATCGTCCATATTGCGGGCGAAGTCCTCAACCAGTTCCTTCAGCTGTTCCAGCGTTTGGGGCTCGCTGTGCACGATCTGAGCCGTCACCAATGACCAGAAACAAAAGTCCAGACAAGACAGGTCGGGACTGTACGGCGGCCATCGGTGTTCACTGTTCCGGGAGATGACGCGGCCGCCGAACTTCGAGTGGAGGAAGTCCATCACGGGAGCAGTGACGTGCGGCGGCGCGCCGTCCTGCTGGAACCAGTACCTGTGGCATGTCGCCCGAGCCCTCACCGCAGGCCACACCACCGTCTGCAGCATCTCCAGGTACGCGTCGCTGTTGACGGAGCCAGTGAACCAGTGAACTGGCAGGCACTTCCATTCCACCACGCCCACCCACGCCATCACCTTCTGCCCCTGGGCCTTCTTGCATGGCACGAGCTTGTTCGGATTCTCTGGCAACCAGCACACGGTGTTCTTCTTGTTTGGAGACGGATGCAGAACAAACCACGTTTCGTCACTCCAGAGTACACGCTCAAACCACTCCTCATCATGGGTCAGCCAGAATTCACAGGAGTCCATCCTGGCCATCCGCGTCATCTCCCGGAACAGTGAACACCGATGGCCGCCGTACAGTCCCGACCTGTCTTGTCTGGACTTTTGTTTCTGGTCATTGGTGACGGCTCAGATCGTGCGCAGCGAGCCCAAAACGCTGGAACAGCTGAAGGAACTGGTTGAGGACTTCGCCCGCAACATGGACGAAGAGCAGCTGCGAAAGATGGCGCGTCACACACGCCGTCGGGCTGAGCTGTGCCGCTCAGAAGGGGGTGGCCACTTTGAGCACCTGCTGTAGATGAACAGTGGCTTGCAGGTGTATAATAGTGTGCAGTACAAAATGTCCCACGATGACGAGTCTAATGACGTATCTTTTGTCTGGTGTGCTATTGAATACACATCTGCACGTGCCACTTACTTTATCTCATTCCCAAATGATCACCCGGTAGGTCCGATAGAAAAACGATTGAATCGTCCCTCATTGAATCTTGTTTGTGTGTAAATTCCAAAGCTGGTGACATACGTTTGGGAAAAAGTTTAGCCGTTCTTTTGGTGCGGAAGCGTCTTGGGATCTCAATCACATGAGGTCATATGAATGTATTTGAAATTAATTTGCTCTGTTAGTCAGGGGAAGGAGGCCCAATTTTGGGCCGAATAACGCAAAATTGGGTAGAGCTTAGCAAAGGGTGGTTTCTGGGACAAAAATGACCGCTGAATCCGAATCTGACCGGTGCGCACCTCTAACTAATGTTGCACCACTTCCAGAGCACGTGCAACTGCGTGGTTCATCTTTTTTGGAGAATGGTACCTTTTTAATGAATTGCAGTGTAACGTCGTTGATATTTGAGATATTGTTTTGAGATTTTGTCCCTGTGCTACAAACACATGGCGTAATTGAAAGCTGAAGTTTTGCAATGTTCGGGCAGCCGATGACGTCACCGTGACGTCATTTACCTATAAATGAGTTGAAAAAGTCGTCTTGTCCTTAAAGCATTTAACTTTATTCCCGTCGTATGCAAATCAGGGAAGGGAAAATAATCAAACATGATCTATGAACATTTCTGAGTCGGATCATGCTAAAATCGTTTTTGCAGAGGTACATGTGAGTCACATTGAGAACGTGACAGTCCAAGTCACCACCTGACAAATTTGGTCAAACTGGATGAAGTAGCACAGCAGATTGATGAATCACGTGAAATAGGATATTTTTATATCATTTTTACCGTGTTCTGGCGCTGCGGCGGCATTTAAATCCAAATACTGTTGGCGTTGAATTGACTAAGTACCGTTCCTTTGGTCTTATTTATAGTTAAAATTGTATAATTTTTTTATTTATTTCAAGTAAATATCCATTCTTATGATTTATGAATAACGGAAAGTCAGCGTGGGTTCAGCTTAGTCGTTACGTGCGTTTGGCTACCGATAAAAAAATGATCCAGAATTGTGCTTGTCATGAAGACTGGGAAAGAAAATAAGAAGCTGTGGTTTATCAAAAAGGGCAAAAATCACCTTTGTAAGAAAGTGAAATATCAGATATTTGAGGAAAACAATCCAAGATCGAAGCGAGACCACACGATTGACGATGCAGGAACAAAACAGTACCTACAAAAATGATCTGAAACCGAATGCCTCCTCATAAACCTGTTTTGTGTGAAGTGCATTTTCTTGGGACTACATTGCAAGCAGGGCTGCGGAGTCGGAGTCGGAGTCGGAGTCGGTCGGAGTCGACAGTTGTGACCGGAGTCGGAGTCGGAGTCGGAGTCGGAGTCGATTTTAGAAACCCGAGCCGGAGTCGGAGTCGGAGTCACCGAAAATCTGTCGACTCCGCAGCCCTGCTAGGTCTGCGGAGTCGGAGTCGGGAGTTGGAGTCGGTCGGAGTCGACAATTCTGCCCGGAGTCGGAGTCGGAGTCGGAGCTGGTTTTTGAAAGTCGGAGTCGGAGTCGGAGACGGAGTCGCCGAAAATCCATCGACTCCGCAGCCCTGATTGCAAGTGAAAATTCATTTGTATCAAAGGAGCATGGATTAGTGATTGCCCTATAAAGTTGAAGCTTGGTGACACCTTCAACATGCATGCGGCTCGACACCATCAGATGCTCTTGGAACACACATGGAACCGTTTTAGACAAAGCTGCAGAATGCAGATTGATGATGACGGTCGCGACGAGCTGAATATGGAGCTCTCCCAACTCGCCCGTCTGAGTCCAAAAGAGATTGAATAGTACCAGCATGCGGCTGCTGGAGAAGGGAGAGCTGGAGCTGGCAGTACGGGCCAAGGAGCTGGCAGGCCGGGAGTATGGACGCCTGACGCGACTCCCTCCGGACGATCCCGCTCGGAAGCTCATTGATAAGACACCAACACCTAGACTACATTACAGAGCCCACCTCCATTGGATGCGGAAGAAACAGGAAGCCCAGGAGGTGGGAGTGCCGGCGCCGGCGCCGCCAGATGAGGACGTTGCTGGCCTCCAGCATCGACCCTGTTTCCGACGAGTGGGGAAGTGGGTGTGCGAGGAAGCTGGACTGGGTGGAGTGCCCGTAGCCCCACTAACCCTGCACCAAGGAGAACCGCCGTGGAAGCAGTACAACACCAACGTCCACTTCGGCTTACAGCTTCCGAAACCTACCAAGAGGACTGACCCACCAGAATTACGGAAGACTGCAACCCTGGAGGCCCTGGCCGCCTACCCAAATCAAGACCTCACAATCTGGTCTGATGGCTCTGCCCTAGACGGTACCAAGAAAGGCGGCGGAGGAGCCCTCCTCGAACTGCACCGTGAGGGACGCAAGATCAAATGTACCATACCGGCAGAAGTCGTATGCAGCAGCATGCAGGCGGAGCTGGCGGCGATGTCGGAGGCGTTAAAATGTTTCCTGGGACTGCACCCTCGCTGCCATTCGGTCTGTCCTGCTCTGCTCGGACTCCTGTCTGGCCTCCAACTGCTCAGTAGAGGCCCAGCAGCGCAGGAATCGGCCCTGACACAGGGCATCTGGGCTCTCCTGCACTCTGCCGCGGCCGGGGGCAGAGCTATCAGTCTCCAGTGGATCCCGGGCCACGCGGGGGTCGAGGGTAATAAAGAAGCGGACCGCCTAGCAAACATCGCGGCAACATCAGGCGACCAGCGTCGGATCCCAGTTGACCTGACCTGTGCGCGCATCGCCATCAGACACTGGGCCGGCCGGCTCACCCTCGATCGATCCAAGCATCACCCACATCTGGAGAACACCCCTGGCCACGACGACCTCGACCGATGGGGACAGACCACTGTCTCGCAGATCCGCAGCGGCTGCTCACCCCTGGTCCGGGCCACACTCTTCAGGATTGGCCTGGCCACCAGCTCTCTCTGCGGACAGTGCAGCGAAGAGGACACGGTCGTGCACCTGCTATGCGAGTGCCTGGCCGCGCAAGAACGCGAACCTGGCTCTGGGGGCCGCTCCCCACCCTCTAGGATGTGCTCTCGGGGCCGGCTAAATACGTCACGGAGTTCCTCGACCGAGTGGGGCGGATCACGGCACCTGTGGACCAGCCCCGGTCTGCCGCGCCCTAGGGCACGGCCGGCAGTGCGCGGAAGAAGAAGAAGGGAGAGCCGGCTGACGCACCGGAACAGGTGCATCTATCCGAGTCCTGCGTCAGAACGACCAGTCGCTCTGCTCCGTCGACCTGGCCGGCGACTTCACGTACCGGCTGGTTGGCGTCGTACAACTTAACGGCGGTGCCAAGCACTCGGGATACTACCTATGTGCGTATGCCGCGTGGCGTGTACTGTACAGAATGGGACGGAACATATTGTATCATCACGAGACGCGTCCGCTGGATGGACGAGGCAGACGTCCTGGGCGAAGGTCACCGCCCAGGGTGCACAGAGTCACCGTGCCGGCGACCGGCAGCCGAACGCCTCTTGATAGTAGCCGTGCTACATTATGTGTGTTCGCCTGTGCATGTGTGTGTATACTGTATACCTATGTATTTACCAAAAGAGATAAATACAACCAACCAGAATCAAATTCTCTTCGGTTAGTTGTTACGTGTTCTTCAATGCTCGGGTATGTGACGTCTAAGAACATGAATAACCACAAGACATTGATAAGAACTTGGGACATAACACATGTGAAACCCTCTGTGACGAAATTTACGCCCACCTTATTAGGTACGTATGCCAACGTAATAAGCTAAAACTACGCCTGTAAAGAACACATCTAATTATAAAATCTCGCAAGCATACAATGCCTTACGAATGCTTTGCGGCGCCAACACATATTATGTATGAACGACTTCTATACCTTACTTTAAATTTCGTCATGTGGCGTCCTGAAAACGTCATCAGCAATTTTTCAGCTAAAGCTTTTGATCAAACCACATAAGAACAATGAAAGCATTTTCCATGCGATTATCTTGATAATCGGCCAAAGCGATTGGTAAACTACATGACCATTTCCAGTCAGATAACCTTTACTAGCGTGGTGATAATCGACCTGAGCCCATGAACTGCGGTAAAATATAATCTTAACCAATCAAAGCCAATTTGCATACTATTCGATGCGTCTCGGTGAGAGAATCACAACGATGGTAAAATGGACGACATGCAAGCATTGTATCAAAAGTTATTGCACAAAAACGATTTGGGGTAAAAACGCACGCTCCGCGGATTTCGCCCCCTGTAAGGCAAAATGGTACCTCCATCCAGACGATTTTTACTGTTTGGAACGGGGAGATATTTTCTGAGCATGCTCAATGCATTTTAAACCCGCCAATGAGCGTATCCTGTGAATAAAGTTAAATGTTTTGTTGTCACATCTCATTTTCTCGTCAATTTACGAATAAATGACGTCACAGTGACGTCATAGATTGTCTGCGATATGCGTTAACTAAAATTTTCATTTATGCAATGAATTTTGACTATAATATTAAAGTTTTGGAATACAACACAACTACACGACAAGTTTTATTTTAAAATATATAAAAAGGGTACCATTCTTCAAAAAAGAAGAACTGCGCAGTTGCACGTGCTCTGGAAGTGGTGCAACATTAGTTAGAGGTGCGCACCGG